CGGCTTTTGAAAATTTGCCCATGCGACCGTGACGGGCCTTTGAAACAAATCGCGCGTACGTAAAAAAGCCCTCGCGCGTGTAGAGGAAATTATACGTTTTTATATTAGTGCAACATTTCATTACGTTCTGGGCCATCAATTGTTTTTTTTAGGTCGGATAGTCAACACTGATTGGCTAATAATTGGGATTGTGTAAATCTTATTCCGATTACATTTGACGCCAGCCAATGAGAACGCACTGCCCAAGTGCACTGCGCACGTTTATATGCGCCCAGACTATCTTAAAACAACTTGTATTTTTACAGATATTAATGAATGTCTGGCAAACCCTTGCGATGTTAATGCAAATTGCACCAATAACAATGGTTCGTATGACTGCACTTGTCATGTGGGATACGAAGGCAATGGCACAATTTGTTCAGGTAAATCATTCTAAAACTTAAATAAAAAATCAATGCTGGCAAATGTTATATAGAACAGGGCAGTCTTTGGGAAAATCTCAAAGAGGTTGCGGTGAACTTCCTACCTTCCTATCTGATGTGTTTTTAAATAATCTCTCGAGCTTCTCTCTCCTTTAAGCAAATTCCCCCTACCGTTTTTAAAATTTAGGGTTGTCACGTATACGCATCTCAAATTATCACTGAATTATCACGTATACGCATCTCAAATTATCACTAAAGTTGCAACAGAGATATATAGAGATTACTTCATGGTTGGCGAGTGCGTACGATTTTTATGCACAAGTTGTGAAGGATCGCAATACGAACGAGTGAGCGTAGGGAACGAGTGAGTTTGCGATCCTTCGCAACGAGTGCATAATAAAAATCGTACAAACGAGCCAACCATGAAGTAATTTGTTTATTAAATGTGTATAGAGATCAATTTGACAACGACACGCTTTTAATAAACAAAAACACAGCGAACAACAAAATCGAAACTTTATGCATGAAAACATATTTATTACCGTTCAGTTTCTTTGTAATTTTGCTCAATAGAAGTTAGACATTCATTCCGAAAGATTTGAGAATGTGTTGAATGTGAAAATATCTTGAATATGAGAATTATGTTTTGAATATCACTCCTATATTTCGACGCTATCTTGAAAGAAAATGTTAACAAATTGCCGCCAAAATGACATACGACAATTTTTCACGTGTGAAGAATATCGTACGTCCAATCAAAAGCCGTGTATGGCATTTTTTCACACGTGAAAAACATCGTGCGTCCAATCGAATTGCATGAAATTAATTTACACAGTGAAATACGTCATTCTGCTGTGCATAAATCTCTATACACGTATGATAAAAATATATGTATTAATATATTTCATTATTATTATTATTATACATTCCATATTATTTGTCGTAGATCGTCTATCATAGAGCAATAAACATGTGGTTTTTAATTCGTATTTAAAGGCAAATCAGGATACTATTATTAGAGACGCCGTTTCGGCATAAGAATAGTCCAAAAATTTGTTGAAGATGTAAGCAAAGAGATCGAAGCTCGAACAATAAAAAGAGTGAAACATGATGAAAAGTGAATAGAAGTAGAATAGAAAAAGAAACATTGAGAGGGGAAAGGATGATAGAGATTCAAAACGGTTTCATTATCGCAAAAGCCACTTTTAGTGTGAAAAGTAGCGTTATGTTATTAAGTAACTGCTGAAATGCCTGAATTTGCTACACCTTGTGATACATTGTTTCTCAGATGTCAATGAATGTGAAATGGATGCATGTGGTTTTAATTCTAACTGCACAAACACCAATGGCTCGTTTATTTGTGAATGCCAAACTGGATTTGAAGGAAGTGGAATAAATTGTACCGGTAAGACTTTATTCAATATAGATATATTAAAGGTTTTGATGTACGGGTAAGGTTATTGCCATGTTTTTACCACTTTCTGTTTTAAAGTAAGGCGAGACAATGCACTTTTTGACGTCTCGACGTAAAGACAGCAGCATATTTGCCACTTGATGCAGAGCTATTTACATATGCAGGATAAGCAAAAAATTATCTCATCACAATGAATATTTACAATGTGTAATTACAAGATATCGCCAAAACTGGATGAATTAAAGAATTCAATTTTTTTTTTCAGACATAGATGAATGTCAGTCATCCCCTTGTGGTTACAATGCAAATTGCACCAACATTGATGGTTCTTATGAGTGTGAGTGCCAGACTGGATATACAGGAAATGGAACAAACTGTACAGGTATATAATTATAAGCTAGGTGCATCGCCTTTGTACAATTTTGTAGTCAACATTTCATGCACAATGTGGAAAGAACTTTCTTGTGCTATCATATTGTGTTGACAAAGATATATTTATATGATTAATTATTAAAAAAAGGTTTCTTGCACTAAAATCATTCATTTTCTCCCTACAGATATCAATGAATGTCAAACAAATCCTTGTGATGGAAATGCAAATTGTACTAATAACGATGGCTCATATCTGTGTACCTGCAACGAAGGCTATTCTGGAAACGGCGCTAGCTGTACAGGTAAACATTGGGTGATATACGAGAGCGTATCAATACAATATACTTTAAGATTTTAGCAAAACTTTGTTGTTTCATTAAAAATCCGGAATTGCATTGTACGAAATGTTGCCTCAGTTTTCCTAAGTGTTATGAAGAGTGTGCTATGCATACACCATGCTAGCATTCCTTCACTTCCAACACTTTCTTGGTGTGAAAAGAAAAATTCTCTACCTACACAAACTTAGTGTATGTTTACATTTAAACGGTGTAATTTTACCTAAATCTTTAGGTAATATTATACTTTACGATAGGGTTAATGTACACCTACATAGTGTTATCCCTTAAAATTTCGTATAACATTTCACCTATGAAATAGGAGTTTCATATATGAAATGAACATGTTCATATATGAAATTAAACACTTCATACATGAAATTTGATTTTCACATATAAGAAATGCTACTTTCATATTATATGAAATTTATTTTTTTTAACATGAGTTTTCGTATGTAAAAAACTATTCACAAATAAAATTTTTGGCTTCAACAAATGAAATAATTTAAACTGTGTATGACGTTCATTTTCACATGTGAAAAGTAAATTATATATAAATGATTTTGGTTTCACATTAATCACCACATGTAAAATTTTGGTTTCCCATCAATCAGATATGAAATTTTGGTTTCACATACGAAATTTTTGGTTTCACATATGAAATTATTTAAATATCGATATCATATGAAATTTTACGTTCGCATGTGAAAAATATGTTTCATATAACACGAATTGTTACTTTCACATATGAATTTCAATTTTTTTATATGACATTTTCCTTTATGTAACACGATTCATATACATGAAATCTTGCATCTTTTCATCTTGCATCGATCTGGCTTCTTTGATAAAATGATTTAAATCGTCACCATTCATGTCATTAAATTTCACCTGTACATGTGAAAAACAAAATTCATATATGAAATGCTAGCTTCACATGTGAAATTTGTTTCACATATGAGTAATTTTAATCTGATACATATGAAATTTCTTTCACATGCAAAATTGCAAAAAGATCATAATTTAGTAGTTTTCATTTTCATAACATTATTGCGTATTTTTTTTCGTGATATCCATCTTTAATGTATAAGGAATTTTGGTTACCTATGAAATTACTTTCGAGCGCAAAGCTGTTTATGAAATGCCTTGGTCTCTACAGGGACATTATCAGAAGCGGAAAACACGCGTTATATTTAAAACTAGGAAAATTATAAGTACGGCAGTTGTATCTCAAAACACGTAATGCGTCAAAATTGGACGCCAGTCCCGATTGCTACCCGGAGAGTGCTAGATCGGTATGCTCATATTACATCACGTCTCAAACTTTTTGCTGGCTATGGTCACAGCTATGGTGGTAAATGCCAATGGTAATTGGTAAATATGGTTTGGGAAACTGGTTTTCGCATCAAAAATTTAATACATATCCGTGTGGAATAGTCGAAATATCGATGTAAATCTGTGGATTAAGAAGCATTCTTTGCTGATGATGTGTTTATGTGGTCTAGTAAAGAATGGTTTTAAAGAAGTTAGTCAGGTATTTAATATTGTTTGTGTTGATCACTTGATCTTTATATATATATTCGCTTTTATAACTCGTCGCCCAAAATCACGGTAATCACAGATGAATCACGGGGAATTTGTTCAATTTATATTGATTACTCTTAATTCTTTTTCATATAACAGTAACATGAAAATACGAGGGAATTTATATTGTTCCTTATGTTATTTTTTACACATGAAAGTATTGACGGGAAAGCCATTTCTTGTCTGAGTCTGACTCAGACTGACTTAAAATCATTACATACAGTAATCAATCTCCAGGATTAACAATCAGTGGAATAATATTTTTAAAATTTTTGCGGTTTTCAATTAGCTGAAAATTAAGATTTGTTCAATATGAACTGACTAAAGTACTGTTATTGCAAAATAATGTTGAGAATAATAGTAATGCAATTATTTTTTTTTACAATTAGTTGATGCCTACACCACCTGCTTTGGTTGAGGTGGACAGAGCCAAAAATTAATAAAAATGGACAAATATACTGTTGGCGGCCATTGATTTAGAAACACACAAGGAATCATCTTTGGCTGGCAAGGAAAATAAAGACAAACAACTTGATCACTACTGTGAAGTACGCACCACATTCAACACAACATTAAACAAGATAATCAACAGGATATTCAAGATCACTGTAAATTATGACTAATTTCTATCATTCAAACGTTCGAAATTCAAATATTGTTTAAAACTCTTTCCAAACATTTATTAAAAGGATTAATGCTCTAAATTCATCAATTGGAGATTAAACTTTATACCTTAATTGTAACAACACAGATGAAATCAACTGCCCCAAAAAAAGAGATTTTGTACCAACATTTTTATCCATAAAAATGCAAAATGATAAAATGATAAAATTAGCAATAAAAATATTGGTGCAAAACCTTTTTTTTGGGCACATGTTGATTTTGTCTGTTTTGTTAAAACCTATAAAGTTTCAACCCCAATTGATCGGTTTCAAAAAATATTTGAATGTCAAACGTTTGAATGATGGAAATAAGTCATATGGTGATTTTGAATATGGTGTTGATTATCCTGTTGAATGTCATGTTGAATGTGGTGTGTACTCCACATTGGTAAGTTGATCTGGCTAAAGTTCAAATGATAAAAGGTATGTAAATACACTTTATAATATGGTTAATATGTTTGACCTCCTGTAAATTTAATAGCAACTAGCATGATTTTACCTTAGCCATAGAAGCTTAGTATACTAAAGTCGTGATAAAGCTGGTAAAGTTTTGTGTAGCTACATAGCAAAATAGTCTTGTATGATGAAATTAGTTTATAATATTAAAGTGAGATAACATGAGTGCATTCAAATGAACTGATATATTTACTTTTTATTAAGGCGGATTTCCACTTACAGCGAAATCGTTCGCCAGCGAAATATTTGCATACTTTCTTTTGAATTTTAACAGCATAAATAAATTAGTTCGACTTGACTGTTCCGAATTCAAAAGAAAATATGCAAATATTTCGCTAGCGAACGATTTCGCTGTAAGTGGAAATCCGCCTTTAGAATGTGTGAGGCAGAGCAGAGCAGCGAAGATAGTGAAAAGGAATGCTATGTGTAAACAGATAAAGGATGAAATCATGAAAAATGGCATGCAAAGGAAAAATAAAATTAAACTTGATAAATGTTGTTCTTGAGGTGTTAGCTAAATATTTTTTTTTAATTTTATAGGTAAATATATCTATGTATTTAAAATGGTTATCTTTTGTATTTAGATTTTTTCAATAAATTTTCAATCCATATATTGAAATTCACTCATGCAGTCATTTTATTATCTTCTAACTATTTCATATGTGAAAAATTTCATATTTGAAATCATTTGATTTATAAATATTCTTGGATAAAAATCATATAAATTATATAGAATGATTTCGCATGTGAAACAATTTCACATGTGAAATTTTCATATAGGAAGTGTTTCAATTCCACATGAGGTTTCATATATGAAACCGTTATGTGAAATTTTCATAGGGGTAGATATGTTTACACTTGAACAATAAAAATCTACACATAATATGTTGTATGATTACTCAACATACCTGAATCTGAATCAAATACCAAAATATGTCAATATACATGAAACTGGTGCACTTGGTGCAAAGTAAACACCCGGGTATAAACAGCGAAATCATTGTAAATTTACTTGCTAAATATGTATCTTTATCTAATCATAGTGTTGAAGATTGCAATGCTATAGCGTCAACTTACACCTAAATAATTGTACATGTGTACGAATTACGAAATGCGGTCAGTCATGTTAATGTACTCGATGTAATATAATAGAGTACCATTACACCTTTTACAGTGTCACAGCCACTGATCTGGGTTAAAATAGAAATCAGCGCGCAGTAAGCCCTGATAGAAATATATTTTTGTTTGGCACTGTATAGTCGTGACCGCATGTCAGTCGCATTTGATGCAAATCGTCTCGATTTGTACGTCTCGTACATGTTCAAGCGACGTGTCCCTAGCTAATTAGAAAATATTTAGATATTTTTTTTGTCATTTTCGTTATAACGATTTGTAATATAAGGTTAGAATGCAAAAAGAGATTGCTTGTCAGTGTCAGTTTGTCACTGCTTGAAGCTTCATATTGTTGCAATATTTGGACACCCAGAAATCTTAACGCGCGCCGCCTATTTTCCGAAGTGAGCAGTTTTAACGGAAAATGGATCGTTCTTACCTAAAATGTGCAGTTCAAAAAGTGACGCTTTCGACAGAAAATATCAAATTCTCAATTGTAAAATTTAAATGATATCATTGGGCACTTTACAAACTCACAGGTTTTTCATCGGGATATCCCTAGGCTAGAACTCCCTTTACTGTGGAATTATATTGTAAGTAAAAATGATCAACGCTAAATTCGATATTCAGATAATAATATTATTAATGTTTTAATTAAGAAAAAATTGGATTAGGGGAAGAACGGTGTATATCCATTCATATCACAGTTATTAGAATATACATGGTTTGGAGACTAGATAAAAGTACAATGCAACTCATTATCTATGTTATTGTCCAGGTTTATGCAAAAAATGGTTCCTTATTCGTCACATGTCTATTGTATTTTAGCCCAACTAACCAATAGCAATGGCTTGGCTTAGCTCTTCAACCGTGACTTGAACAACATGTTAATTCAGATCTTACTATTGGTTTATTTGTTCAAAATACAATAGACACGTGACGAGTAAGGAACAACTTTTTGCATAAATGTTCCCCGACATAGATAATGAGTTCTATTGTACTTTTATGTAGTCTCCAAACCATGTATATTCTATTAACTGTGTTCATATCAACCTAATTTAATTAACCTCATCATTTTAAATTTCGACAGACATCGATGAATGTGCGGAGGGTGATCCATGTGGTTTCAATACGAACTGTACGAACACAAACGGTTCTTACACGTGCGAGTGTTTATTTGGGTTTGAAGGGAATGGAACAAATTGCACAGGCAAGTTCTAGGGTGGTCATATTTTGAACATTTCTCATTTTCCAATTGCATCAAAGTTTTAGAACACATCACAAAGATTTATGTTACAGACCACTGTCTTTATAAACGCCCGCGACTGGCAACTCCTGCATTGTGTATGATAATTATACGATGTTAAAATGCTAAATCTGTTAACTAGCTATACAGTCATATATGTTTCAGTCTTTTTTCTTTCTTCAAGTGAGAAATCCTGGATTATTTAATTGGATTTATTTATTCAAGGGGATCATTTCGTAAATTTGTACAATTATATCGAATATAGATATCAACGAATGTGAACGAGATGCTCCGTGTCATACAAATGCAACTTGCACAAACGTGGATGGATCATACTATTGCGCTTGCAAAGCAAACTTCAGTGGAGATGGCTTCTTTTGTGAAGGTAATCGCAAGGATTTAGCTGTCATAAGGGCCGGATTCAGCTGTTATGTTATCTAGGGCGTGTTCTCGGAATGATGTAAAATGCATAATTTTATGAAAAAATTATTGGACGAGATTGAGCGTGATATTGAAATTTAATTATCAAGCCAAAGGTTAGGCTCGAGTGGCAGATCCAGGATTAGGGGGAATAAATTAAAAGACTTAATTTTAAATTCAAAATACTTTAATAACAACGCTATTGGTCATGGATTTCTAAAGAATATATTTTAAAATATAAAATCTGCCAATTCGATTACAATTTTGAGGTCTAGTAATTTATTCTGCCGCTAGCCCTGAATCCGTTAACCTGGGGCGCTTTCCTTTCTACGGTAAAGACGGTCAGATCGGTCCTGTTGTATTTCAGTACAGACAGATTACTGGTATTTTAGAGTGTTTCAAGAAATCTGCATTCAGTTTAAATGTTATTTACATCTGATTAGCAGGGAAATGCAGTTTCACCGCTATTTTTTCAACGAAATGCTTTATTTCAATTCAAAATACCACCGGTCTGACCATTTTGGGCGCTTCATGGAAAGCGCCCCTGGTTAGCGTTATCTCCCGAAGCCGTGGACTGAGGCAGATAACGCCAAGCGAGAAACAATTCTAAATATCACACGAAAACCGAATCCAATAATGTTTTATTACTCTCCTAAACTAACTAAGATAAGGGTAGTGATAACGAACTATTTTATTGGGTAATTATTTTCTTATTTATTGATTTTATATTGATTTTAGAAACTATTAATTTGTAGTTAAGAGTTAATAATTACAGAATGCCAGGAATTATTTGTAGATTTGGCGCCATAATTATATAGTCATAATCACAAATACTGGGAGTTATTATATTTTATAAATTTGACGTCATAATTATTTCTAGGTGGCTAACCAATCAAAGCGGAGATTGTGTATAAATTACAGTGAATAATAATTATAGATATGGGTTCTTAAAGTCTTTTTAACGTTTAACGGCGAGTATTGTAGGTATTTTGAGAGTACAGTGAGAGTTTGCCTATGTATTCTGTATAATAATTATTTTTTGTAATTTGGGTAGTGTTGACGTGCAAAGTGGAAGCCATATACTATGCAACAACCGATGCTATCAAAGGCGTATTCTCTGACGGTAACACAACAGTGACCATATTATCCGCAACCAACGTGAAACTAAATTATGATTCTGGGACTAAAAGACTCCTCTACTACGATGGCACCAGTCTTATCACAGTTAAATTGGACGGAAGTAATTCAACCACGATAGCATCTCTCTCGACCATCTTTCGGTTTACAGTAGATCATATAACAAGAAAGGTCTACTACGTTACTGAACTATTCAAATCACTACATGTTATTGACTTGAATACAGGAAATATAACGAAGCTTAGTCCAACCGATATTGCTAATGTTGTCGACTTGGATAGTGATCCAGATAACAGGTGCGCAAATAATTACCACGTGAATAAATAAAATTAAGTTATAATATATAATAAAATATAAATTTTGATCTACTTGCTCAAAAATTTGTTGCTCGTCACTTTGAGAGATGCAATGTAAAGTCCCACGTTTGTTGTGACTCCTTTATGCAACATTCTAATTTTAATAAAGACTTATACATACATATACATACATTTATAGTCGGTGCTACGCGCCTTGTCGGCAATCAGCTAATAGATAAATTAACTAGAAATACATGCATGCAGCAACCCCTCGCCTCAGTTAAACGAAATTAGTTAAGCATAGGGATGGTTACATGAAAGAAAATTTATGTGGGTTGAGGGTTTGGAGGGTCCGTGGTATGTGAGAAAATAAGTTTATTTGTAGTCATAGCGACTCGCATTAACCGCCGTATATTTTCAAAGAATAAAAGTTTACCGTCATATTTTTGTGAAAAAATGGCAAAAATACGACAATATGTTGGTATCTTTTTCTGCAAGTTAAGTTACTCATCTATATAGTCAGTGGTTTGGTAAATTATTTTAATTATTAAATACCATGAAAAATAACATCAGACGTCTCATACAACTTCCGAAGTTTTATGTTACGCCTCGACTGGTTTTTGCACTGGTATTTTGATTTCATTTTTTTTGTCATTATGCATGAAAACGGAATTTATAAATGAAATTATAATGTCATCAGCTCATTTTTTTGATATGGTACGAAGGTCATATCATTCAACAGAGAAAAGCAATCTGCAGATATGAATGGTTCGGCGTTCAACGCCTCTTCAGTGCAGCTTGGTACATCTATATATACACATGCATGATAACGACCGTATTTACGTGTTTCAACAAGGAACCATCAAAATTTACAGCAAAATTTGTCGCAATGTTTCTGAAACTTATAGAGGAATCAACTCGGACGAATTCGATTTCCCAGGACCTAAAAATTGAGTTCCGGGTTTTAAATGCATGCGGCGAAGTTAAACGCGATCAAAATTTTAAAAGAATGATGATCCCAAATTGGTTTCGTATCAACTCTTTTAAACTACAGGGGCCGGTTGTATGAAAGCCGGATAGCACTATCCACCGAATAGTGGTTTTTTTCAACCGTTCTAAAAATACTCAAAGAGCCATAAAATTTCAGCTTCGTAACCAACAATTATTAAAGATGATTCTCAATTAATTAAGGAATACTAAGATATAATCAAAGTTATACCCAAAAACGGGCAATTTTAAAGCAATTGAAAAAATCACTATCTAGTGGTTGGCGCTATCCAGTTTTCATACAACCGGCCCCAGATTGATAACTTGCACTATACACGCGTGCAAGGATTACTTTCAAAGTAAAATGTGTGAAATGGTATAATTCGTCCAAATTATGGTATAATGGTATAAATGGTATAATTCGTTAATCTGTGTATCTTTACGACCCCACATCCCTGATGTCATCTTAAACTGCATGCATGGACATACTCTAGCAAACATACCAAACCAATATGCAGAAAGAAAAAAAAATTATCAAAGTCTGGCGATCAAGTTAAAAAAAATATATTGCACCAACCCCAAGATGGGTCAATGCCGTTTTAAATCACCAAATTCTTGCGTTCATGGCGACGCGCAGTGTTTTTTTTTCATTTTTTAGATGACTGGAAGTTTATCCGTGATTTTCTTTTATAGAGATAGGGCCCAGCTATATATAGTGTATCATAACCACTGTCCAGTATCAATATATTGTTCAGCGAATCGCTCTATAACTCGTGCGATAGGCTTATTATTTCATAACTAACTAACATACTTCAATAAAAAGAAAGAAATACTGTGATTATCATAATCACATTGCTAGGATTTGCATGCCTTTTACCATAACTTTTAAATTTGGATTAATGTCTCTCCGTTTTAGTTCCCTTGTGTTTGCTGACGCCAACAAAGGAGACATTGTTCGCTATTTTCTCGACAAAGACACAAATGAAGTTGTTTACCACAACGACACATCACCAAAATACCTGACAGTTGATCCTCAATATGAAGTTATTTATTGGATTGATTATATCGTTCCTAGTGATAGTTATTCTCTTATGAAAACATATTTCAATGGTTCAACGTCTGAAGTCAAGTTCTACCCTGGTACAACAAGTTCAGTAAACGTTGCAATAGGGAAAGATAATTTCTATGTAATGGATAGCACAAGGAAACGTATAGATGTGTTTGACAGACCCAATGCTACTTTCCAATATTCATTTTTTCTCAGTGATTCACCACAAGAAATAACTGTTGTTGAAGGTGAGTGAAACTTTAAAAAAACTTTATTCATAAAAACAATTACCAAGAAGGGTTAAAGTGCCTATATCACTCGTGGGATCTTTATGCATTTGTAAAGAACGTAAAAAGTTAGTTAATATATTAAAAAAGTTTTTTGATTTAGTGCAATAATTTCGAAGATACAAGCCTCTAAACTACCTGCGGCTCCAGAGTCCCAACCTCCTGGGTTTAAACACGGCCATTCAATTTGAAACTGCCCATTGTTTACAGGAGCCTGGGACTCAGGAACTGCAGGTAGTTTAAGGGCTAGTATCTTCAAAATTGTTGCACTAAATCAAAAAACTTTTTTAATATATCAACTAACTTTTTACATTCTTTTCAAATGCATAAAGATTCCACGAGTGATATAGGCACTTTAAAAGGCGGCAGGTTCATTTGGTATATAAACACAGAAAAATCATAGCTCCATTTATATACGCTACAGTCAATTTTAATAGGGTTCAGGCTACTAATACAAAGGCCGAAATGTGTACGGGTACCCATGTAGCCGTGCTGTGTCACGCCAATAAATCGAGTGTAGCGTAAACAGGGCTCACCAGCAATTTAACTTTATTTGTCGCTAAATATAAAGCACCAATATAGAATAAAGTACATAATTTTTTAACATGTAGCCTAGCTAGTTTCATATGTAAAAATTTAAGAATTAGCTTTCTTAGGATAAGAAATAATTAACATCAGTAGCGTAGCCAGCCTGTCGATTTGTCCCGCTATGCTAATATGTTAGTGTTCATTGACTGTGAAAACAATAGATTTCTAAAGACATGAATAATTATAATGACTCGAAATTTACATAGCGGGACAAAATCGTCAGGCTGGCTACGCTACTGATTAACATTCCTTTTTAAACTTACATATAATTTACATAACTTACATACTCCGCCAAGTATTGTATTTTGATGTGCAAATGATTATTGAAAAATAATTTTGAGTAAGTGTTTTTGAAAGTATTTAAGCCTTTTATGATCCAAATCAATCGATCCTAAACAAGTTTAGAAGGAAGAATAAACACTTGATTGACGCACCTCACAACTTATTTTTTCAGATTTGGATGAATGTTGTATTGGTGGATATTGTCATGATAATGCAACGTGTACAAACACACCAGGAAGTTATTTCTGCACATGCAAGGAAGGCTATACTGGGATAGGAACTAATTGTGAAGGTACGCAGAGATTTTGTGTAATTTGTTAGCGAAACAAACACAAAGAACGCCAAGCCACAACGTTGTGAAACTCGAAATTGGGAAAATAACGAAAATTTCATTACGATCAGCATGCAGCTAATCGGTAGTGCAGCATATGGCTAATGCAATACTGGTTTTAAAACTCAAAATAAATAAACATTTTTGTTTAAATTTAAAATATGTCCGTTCGGTTTCATATAATATCGCAGACTAAAGCCCGCCGCTAACGAGGGCTAAATTAGCTGAGCTAATTAGCTAATATAGCTTTTCGTGTGGCTGTTAGCTCAATGGTATTATGGATCTGCCCATACGTACGATTTCAGTGTGTTTTGGGCTAACTGATGGGAAATTGCTTTTATAAGTACTAAAGGCATGCAAGTGCATAGAAGACAGCAATTGCTCCCTGTACGCCATGAGAAATAGGTGCAGAAAGGTGAAGACAGCTGACAGCCAATTCTCATATGCTGTGTTCTTTCGATCATGCAGATATAGTTCCGAAAAAAAATTCTCACTTTTTTGGAAGAAACCAAAATTGTTCAGTATTTTAGAAAAAAAGAAGTGATTTACACTGTCGGAGGAGTTTGATAGGCCTAATAATTAAATGAGTGTAGCAACCGAATTCTTTTCTATGGTCCATACATGGTTATATACTACCTAAAAGCCTTCGCATTTAAAAAATTCTATATCAAATGGAATGATTATAACATAAAAAACGGAAAAGATGTATTATAACCCTCGAAAACGTACAACCAATTAGTTCTTAAAGAGTAGTGTCTAGTGAATGGTTAAATACAGTAATAAAAGTAAAGTAAACATTACCCGTTTTCCAGCTGCAGTTTATAGATTTTCACAGCTTAAGTAAAAGTTATATACTTTAATAACCATGCGATACACCCAGCTTGTTAATAATTATTTGATTAAATATTTTTGTTTTGGGAAAAAGTATAGAAAAAGATTTCTACAGATTATCAAATCAAACTCAATGTAATCCTTGCGAATGTCATCTGTAATATATTTCTAGACATCAATGAATGTGAAAAAAATCCTTGTGATGTGAATGCAAATTGCACTAATACTGATGGTTCATATAATTGTACTTGTAACATGGGCTATAAGGGCAATGGTCACAACTGTACAGGTAAGGTGAACACAGAATATAGGCATAAACAAAATTATCTGTTATTCTACCATCAAATTTTCTTTTTCTCTGGTTTTCTATCGCAAATCCAAGTTCTGAAAGAAAGCGATATTTCTAATGCTGTTTCCCCGACAGCTATCTTGCTCACACGATTAGTTTAATTTCCTTGTTTGCTCTAATATAGTTGAATAATTAGAACATTTATTAGTCTTTGGCTTCGTTCCAACAAGCCTAAGTTGAAGAAAGAAAGAGGATTTTAAATTCTTTTTCATTTGCAATTGTTCATCATGCCATATACTTAGCTTGTTAATAATTATTTGATGAAATATTTTATTTTGGGGAAAAGTACAAAAAGATTTGTAAAGATTATAAAAATCAAACTCATTATAATCCTTGCGAACGTCATCTGTAATATATTTTCAGATATCAATGAATGTCAAACAAATCCTTGTGATGTAAATGCAAATTGTACTAATACTGATGGTTCATATAATTGTACTTGTAACATGGGCTATGAGGGCAATGGTCACAACTGTACAGGTAAGGTGAACACAGAATATCGGCAAAAACAAAATTATCTGTTATTCTAAAGTTAAATTTTCTTTTTCTCTGGTTTTCTATCACAAATCCAAGTTCTGAACGCAAGCGATAGTTCTACTGCTGTTTCCCCGACAGCTATATCTTGCTCACACGATTAGTGTTATTTCCTTGTTTGCTCTAATAGTTGAATTATTAGAGCATGATAATTATTATAGTGTTTGGCTTTGATCTAACGTGCCTAATTAAGTTGAGGAATGAGAGAGAATTTTACATTTTCATTCCAATCCTACGTCCAATAACACAAATGGATCTTATATCTGCATATGTAATTCTCGATATACAGGAGACAAATTTAATGGAACAGATTAAAGGCCTACACCAGAAATAATGTTTTTCGCAAATGTATGAGTAAAGGACAGTAAATGAAAAATAAAAAAGCAACAACTGTCATTTCAGATGTTGACGAATGCCAAACATCTTCCCCATGTCATTCAAATGCTACGTGCAATAACACAGATGGATCTTATATTTGCACATGTGATTCTGGATATACTGGAGATGGATTTAACTGCGCAGGTAAGACAACGGAAATATTATTTTTAACAAATATTTTTAACAAATGTTTGAGAAAAGAATAGTAAATGAAAGAATAAAAATTTTGCGACGGTCATTTCAGATGTTGACGAATGCCAAATATCTTCCCCATGTCATTCCAATGCTACGTGCAATAACACAGATGGATCTTATTTTTGTACATGTTATTCTGGTTATTCTGGGGATGGATTTAATTGCACAGGTAAGACAACGGAAAGAATATTTTTAACAAATATTTTTTAAAAATATTTGGGAAAAAATATTACATGGAAATATGATAATGGTTTGACAGCTACCTATCTCACACTACCTAACTCAGCTACCCCGACAGCAACCTAGCTCACACGATTACTCTAATTTCCTTGTTTGCTCTAGTAGTTTAATATTTACACATGAAATAGTCTTTGCCTACCAAAAAGCCTAAGTTGAAGCGGGAAAGAGGATTTTTGATTCTTTTTCATTTGCAATTGTTTACCATGCAATACACCCAGCTTGTTAATAATTATTTGAAAAAATATTTTTGTTTTGGGGAAAACTATAGAAAAAGATTTCTACAGATGATTAAAATCAAACTTAATGTAATCCTTGCGAACGTCATCTGTAATATATTTCTAGATATCAATGAATGCCAAACAAATCCTTGTGATGCAAATGCAAATTGCACTAATACTGATGGTTCATATAATTGTACTTGTAACATGGGCTATAAGGGCAATGGTCACAACTGTACCGGTAAGGTGAACACAGAATATCATCATAATCAAAATTATCTTTTATTCTATAGTCAAATTTTCTTTTTCTCTGGTTTTCTATCGCAAATCCAAGTTCTGAACGCAAGCGATATTTCTACTGCTGTTTCCCCGACAGCTATATCTTGCTCACACGATTAGTTTAATTTCCTTGTTTGCTCTAATAGTTGAATTATTAGAGCATGATATAGTGTTTGGCTTTGATCTAACGTGCCTAAGTTGAGGAAGGAGAAAATTTTACATTCTTTTTTCATTTACAAGTGTTCACCATGTTATATACTCAGCTAAGTCAGATGGTTGATAATTATATAATGAAATATTTTTTATGGTAAAAAGTATAGAAAATGATTTCTACAGATTATCAAAATCAAACACTAAATGAGTGTATCAACCGATTTCTTTTCTATGGTCCATACATGGTTATATACTAGCTAAAAGGCTTCGCATTTAAAAATTTCTATATCAAATGAAATGATTATAATATAAAAACCGAAAAAGATATATTATAACCCTCGAAAACGTACAACCAATTAGTGCTTAAAGAGTAGTGTCTAGTGAATGGTAAAATACAGTAATAAAAGCGAAGTAAACATTACCCGTATCCCGGTAGTAGTTTATAGATTTTCACAGCTTAAGTAAAAGTTATATACTTTAATAACATCAAAACAGCTCAAACTAAATCCCGAACTGGCAACTGAAGGGCTAAACGCCGAATGTTGTTTTTTACAAAATATAATACACAGTGATTTCATTGTTTTATCAAAAACTTCAAAGTAATTGCACTTTCCAAAACTCTTTTTCAAGTTAACATAGCTTTTAGCCAATCAAAGGCTCTGAATTTTCTGAAATAAATTATAATTTAATTTATTCAATCTATTCAAAATATAGAGAATAACAAACCAAAAATGCCATATTAGATGTTGACGAATGCCTAAAAACTCCCCCATGCCATTCCAATCCTACGTGCAATAACACAAATGGATCTTATATCTGCATAAATAATTCTGGATATAAAGGAGACGGGTTTAATGGACCAGATTATAGGCCTACACCAGAAATAATGTTTTTCGCAAATGTATGAGTAAAAGACAGCAAATGACAAATCAAAATGCAACAACTGTCATTCCAGATGTTGACGAATGCCTAACATCTCCCCCATGTCATTCAAATGCTACGTGCAATAACACAGATGGATCTTATATTTGCACATGTGATTCTGGATATACTGGAGATGGATTTAACTGCGCAGGTAAGACAACGGAAATATTATTTTTAACAAATATTTTTAACAAATGTTTGAGAAAAGAATAGTAAATGGAAGAATAAAAATTTTGCGACTGTCATTTCAGATGTTGACGAATGCCAAACATCTTCCCCATGTCATTCCAATGCTACGTGCAATAACACAGATGGATCTTATTTTTGTACATGTTATTCTGGTTATTCTGGGGATGGATTTAATTGCACAGGTAAGACAACGAAAAGAATATTTTTAACAAATATTTTTTAAAAATATTTCAGAAAAAATATTAGATGGAAATATGATAATGGTTTGACAGCTACCTATCTCACACTACCTAGCTCAGCTACCCCGACAGCAACCTAGCTCACACGATTACTCTAATTTCCTTGTTTGCTCTAGTAGTTTTAATATTTACACATGAAATAGTCTTTGCCTACCAAAAAGTCTAAGTTGAAACGGGAAAGAGGATTTTTGATTCTTTTTCATTTGCAATTGTTCACCATGCGATACACCCAGCTTGTTAATAATTATTTGATAAAATATTTTTGTTTTGGGGAAAACTATAGAAAAAGATTTCTACAGATGATTAAAATCAAACTTAATGTAATCCTTGCGAATGTCATCTGTAATATATTTCTAGATATCAATGAATGCCAAACAAATCCTTGTGATGCAAATGCAAATTGCACTAATACTGATGGTTCATATAATTGTACTTGTAACATGGGCTATGAGGGCAATGGTCACAACTGTACAGGTAAGGTGAACACAGAATATCGGCAAAAACAAAATTATCTGTTATTCTAAAGTTAAATTTTCTTTTTCTCTGGTTTTCTATCACAAATCCAAGTTCTGAACGCAAGCGATAGTTCTACTGCTGTTTCCCCGACAGCTATATCTTGCTCACACGATTAGTGTTATTTCCTTGTTTGCTCTAATAGTTGAATTATTAGTCCATGATAATTATTATAGTGTTTGGCTTTGATCTAACGTGCCTAATTAAGTTGAGGAATGAGAGAGAATTTTACATTTTCATTCCAATCCTACGTCCAATAACACAAATGGATCTTATATCTGCATATGTAATTCTCGATATACAGGAGACAAATTTAATGGAACAGATTAAAGGCCTACACCAGAAATAATGTTTTTCGCAAATGTATGAGTAAAGGACAGTAAATGAAAAATAAAAAAGCAACAACTGTCATTTCAGATGTTGACGAATGCCAAACATCTTCCCCATGTCATTCAAATGCTACGTGCAATAACACAGATGGATCTTATATTTGCACATGTGATTCTGGATATACTGGAGATGGATTTAACTGCGCAGGTAAGACAACGGAAATATTATTTTTAACAAATATTTTTAACAAATGTTTGAGAAAAGAATAGTAAATGAAAGAATAAAAATTTTGCGACGGTCATTTCAGATGTTGACGAATGCCAAATATCTTCCCCATGTCATTCCAATGCTACGTGCAATAACACAGATGGATCTTATTTTTGTACATGTTATTCTGGTTATTCTGGGGATGGATTTAATTGCACAGGTAAGACAACGGAAAGAATATTTTTAACAAATATTTTTTAAAAATATTTGGGAAAAAATATTACATGGAAATATGATAATGGTTTGACAGCTACCTATCTCACACTACCTAACTCAGCTACCCCGACAGCAACCTAGCTCACACGATTACTCAGATTATTCTTTTTCATTTGCAATTGTTCACCATGCTATACACCCAGTTTGTTAATAATTATTTGATAAAATATTTTTGTTTTGGGGAAAACTATAGAAAAAAGATTTCTACAGATTACCAAAATCAAACTCAATGTAATCCTTGCGAATGTCATCTGTAATATATTTCTAGATATCAATGAATGTGAAACAAATCCTTGTGATGCAAATGCAAATTGCACTAATACTGATGGTTCATATAATTGTACTTGTAACATGGGCTATGAAGGCAATGGTTATAACTGTACAGGTAACGTAAAAATAGAATATCGTTATATTCAAAAGTATTTGTTATATGCATTGCCAAAATTTATTTTCTTCCGCCTTTCTTTTGGAAACGTAAATCTGAACCCGAGCGATTTTTACCCGCTGTTTCCTCGACAGCTACCTAGCTCACACGATTACTCTAATTTCCTATTTTGCTATAATAGTTGTTTTATGTACCCAAGAATTAGTATTTTCCTTCCAGCATGCCAAGTTGAACGTGGAAAGAGGATTTTAGATTCTTTTTCATTTCAATTTTTCACCATGTCATATACTCAGCTTGTTAACAGTTAGCTATTTAATGTTTTTGTTTTGGGGAAAAGTATGCAAAAAATTTCTACAGATTATCAAAATCAAATTCAATGAAATGCTTTTTAAGGTCATCTATAATACATTTTTAGATATCAATGAATGTCAAACAAATCCTTGTGGTGTAAATGCAAATTGCACTAATACTGATGGTTCATATAATTGTACTTGTAACATGGGCTATGAGGGCAGTGGTTATAACTGTACTGGTAACGTAAAAATAGAATATCGGCATATTCAAAAGTATTTGTTATATGCATTGCCAAAATTTTTTTTCTTCCGGCTTTCTTTTGGAAACGTAAATCTGAACCCAAGTGATTTTTACCCGCTGTTTCCTCGACAGCTACCAAGCTCACACGATTACTCTAATTTCATTTTTTGCTATCATAGTTGTTTTATATACCCATGAATTAGTATTTTCCTTCCAGCATGCCTAAGTTGAACGTGGAAAGAGGATTTTAGATTCTTTTTCATTTGCAATTTTTCACCATGTCATATACTCAGCTTGTTAACAATTATTTAATGTTTTTGTATTGGGGAAAAGTATTGAAAAAGATTTCTACAGATTATCAAAATCAAATTCAATAAAATGCTTTTTAAGGTCATCTATAATACATTTTTAGATATCAATGAATGTCAAACAAATCCTTGTGGTGTAAATGCAAATTGCACTAATACTGATGGTTCATATAATTGTACTTGTAACATGGGCTATGAGGGCAGTGGTTATAACTGTACAGGTAACGTAAAAATAGAATATCGGCATATTCACAAGTATTTGTTATATGCATTGCAAAATTTATTTTCTTCCGGCTTTCTTTTGAAAACGTAAATCTAAAGCCGAGCGATTTTTTTGCGCTGTTTCCTCGACAGCTACCTAGCTCACACGATTACTCTGATTTCCTGTATTACAAGTATTTGTTATATGCATTGCAAAATTTATTTTCTTCCAGCTTTCTTTTGGAAACGTAAATCTAAAGCCGAGCGATTTTTTTGCGCTGTTTCCTCGACAGCTACCTAGCTCACACGATTACTCTGATTTCCTGTATTGCTATGGTAGTTGTTTTATATACCCATGAATTAGTATTTTCCTTCCAGCATGCCTACGTTGAACGTGGAAAGAGGATTTTAGATTCTTTTTCATTTGCAATTTTTCACCTTGTCATATACTTAGCTTGTTAACAGTTATTTAATGTTTTTGTTTTGGGGAAAAGTATGCAAAAAATTTCTCCAATTATCAAAATCAAATTCAATGAAATGCTTTTGAAGGTCATCTATAATACATTTTTAGATATCAATGAATGTGAAACAAATCCTTGTGGTGTAAATGCAAATTGCACTAATACTGATGGTTCATATAATTGTACTTGTAACATGGGCTATGAGGGCAGTGGTTATAACTGTACAGGTAACGTAAAAATACAATATCCGCATATTCAAAAGTATTTGTTATATGCATTGCCAAAATTTATTTTCTTCCGGCTTTCTTTTGGAAACGTAAATCTGAACCCGAGCGTTTTTTACCCGCTGTTTCCTCGACAGCTACCTAGCTCACACGATTACTCTAATTTCATGGTTTGCTATCATAGTTGTTTTATATACCCATGAATTAGTATTTTCCTTCCAGCATGCCTGAATTGAACGTCGAAAGAGGATTTTAGATTCTTTTTCATTTGCAATTTTTCACCATGTCATATACTTAGCTTGTTAACAGTTATTTAATGTTTTTGTTTTGGGGAAAAGTATGCAAAAAATTTCTACAGATTATTAAAATCAAATTCAATGAAATAGCTTTTTAAGGTCATCTATAATACATTTTTAGATATCAATGAATGTCAAACAAATCCTTGTGGTGTAAATGCAAATTGCACTAATACTGATGGTTCATATAATTGTACTTGTAACATGGCTATGAGGGCAGTGGTTATAACTGTACAGGTAACGTAAAAATAGAATATCGGCATATTCACAAGTATTTGTTATATGCATTGCAAAATTTATTTTCTTCCAGCTTTCTTTTGGAAACGTAAATCTGAAGCCGAGCGATTTTTACCGAGCGAATTCTTTTTACTGTGTTCCTTTACAGCTACCTATAGCTCACACGATTACTCTAATTTCATGGTTTGCTATCGTAGTTGTTTTATATACCCATGAGATTAGTATTTTCCTTCCAGCATTCCTAAGTTGAACATGGAAAGAGGATTTTAGATTCTTTATCATTTGCAATTTTTCACCATGTCATATACTCAGCCTGTTAACAGTTATTTAATGTTTTTGTTTTGGGGAAAAGTATGCAAAAAGATTTCTACAGAATATCAAAATCAAATTCAATGAAATGCTTTTTAAGGTCATCTATAATACATTTTTAGATATCAATGAATGTCAAACAAATCCTTGTGGGTGTAAATGCAAATTGCACTAATACTGATGGTTCATATAATTGTACTTGTAACATGGGCTATGAGGGCAGTGGTTATAACTGTACAGGTAACGTAAAAATAGAAGATCAGCCTATTCAAAAGTATTTGTTATATGCATTGCCAAAATTTATTTTCTTCCGGCTTTCTTTTGGAAACGTAAATCTGAACCCGAGCGATTTCTACCCGCTGTTTCCTCAACAGCTACCTATAGCTCACACGATTACTCTAATTTCATGGTTTGCTATCGTAGTTTTTTATATACCCATGAATTAGTATTTTCTTTCCAGCATGCCTCAATTGAACGTAGAAAGAGGATTTTAGATTCTTTTTCATTTGCAATTTTTCACCATGTCATATACTTAGCTTGTTAACAGTTATTTAATGTTTTTGTTTTGGGGAAAAGTATGCAAAAAATTTCTACAGATTATCAAAATCAAATTCAATGAAATGCTTTTTAAGGTCATCTATAATACATTTTTAGATATCAATGAATGTCAAACAAATCCTTGTGGTGTAAATGCAAATTGCACTAATACTGATGGTTCATATAATTGTACTTGTAACATGGGCTTTGAGGGCAGTGGTTATAATTGTACAGGTAACGTAAAAATAGAATATCGTTATATTCAAAAGTATTTGTTATATGCATTGCCAAAATTTATTTTCTTCCGGCTTTCTTTTGGAAACGTAAATCTGAACCCGAGTGATTTTTACCCGCTGTTTCCTCGACAGCAACCAAGCTCACACGATTACTCTAATGTCATGGTTTGCTATCATAGTTGTTTTATATACCCATGAATTAGTATTTTCCTTCCAGCATGCCTAAGTTGAACGTGGAAAGAGGATTTTAGATTCTTTTTCATTTGCAATTTTTCACCATGTCATATACTCAGCTTGTTAACGATTATTTAATGTTTTTGTTTTGGGGAAAAGTATTGAAAAAGATTTCTACAGATTATCAAAATAAAATTCAATAAAATTCTTTTTAAGGTCATCTATAATACATTTTTAGATATCAATGAATGTCAAACAAATCCTTGTGGTGTAAATGCAAATTGCACTAATACTGATGGTTCATATAATTGTACTTGTAACATGGGCTATGAGGGCAGTGGTTATAACTGTACAGGTAACGTAAAAATAGAATATCGGCATATTCAAAGTTTTTTTATATGCATTGCCAAAATTTATTTTCTTCCGGCTTTTTTTTGGAAACGTAAATCTGAACCCGAGCGATTTTTACCCGCTGTTTCCTCGACAGCTACCTAGCTCACACGATTACTCTGATTTCCTGGTTTGCTATCATAGTTGTTTTATATACCCATGAATTAGTATTTTCCTTCCAGCATGCCTGAATTGAACGTGGAAAGAGGATTTTAGATTCTTTTTCATTTGCAATTTTTCACCATGTCATATACTTAGCTTGTTAACAGCTATTAATGTTTTTTTTTTGCGGAAAAGTATGCAAATAATTTCTACAGATTATCAAAATCAAATTCAATAAAATGCTTTTGAAGGTCATCTATAATACATTTTTAGATATCAATGAATGTGAAACAAATCCTTGTGGTGTAAATGCAAATTGCACTAATACTGATGGTTCATATAATTGTACTTGTAACATGGGCTATGAGGGCAGTGGTTATAACTGTACAGGTAACGTAAAAATAGAATATCCGCATATTCAAAAGTATTTGTTATATGCATTGCCAAAATTTATTTTCTTCCGGCTTTCTTTTGGAAACGTAAATCTGAACCCGAGCGATTTTTACCCGCTGTTTCCTCGACAGCTACCTAGCTCACACGATTACTCTAATTTCATGGTTTGCTATCATAGTTTTTTTATACCCATGAATTAGTATTTTCCTTCCAGCATGCCGAATTGAACGTCGAAAGAGGATTTGGATTCTTTTTCATTTGCAATTTTTCACCATGTCATATACTTAGCTTGTTAACAGTTATTTAATGTTTTTGTTTTGGGGAAAAGTATGCAAAAAATTTCTGCAGATTATCAAAATCAAATTCAATGAAATGCTTTTTAAGGTCATCTATAATACATTTTTAGATATCAATGAATGTCAAACAAATCCTTGTGGTGTAAATGCAAATTGCACTAATACTGATGGTTTCATATAATTGTACTTGTAACATGGGCTATGAGGGCAGTGGTTATAACTGTACAGGTAACGTAAAAATAGATATCGGCATATTCACAAGTATTGTGTTATATGCATTGCAAAATTTATTTCTTCCAGCTTTCTTTGGCGTTTTTAAAACGTAAATCTAAAGCCGAGCGATTTTTTTGCGCTGTTTCCTCGACAGCTACCTAGCTCACACGATTACTCTGATTTCCTGTATTGCTATGGTAGTTGTTTTATATACCCATGAATTAGTATTTTCCTTCCAGCATGCCTACGTTGAACGTGGAAAGAGGATTTTAGATTCTTTTTCATTTGCAATTTTTCACCATGTCATATACTTAGCTTGTTAACAGTTATTTAATGTTTTTGTTTTGGGGAAAAGTATGCAAAATTTCTCCAAATATCAAAATCAAATTCAATGAAATGCTTTTGAAGGTCATCTATAATACATTTTTAGATATCAATGAATGTGAAACAAAATCCTCCTTGGTGGTGTAAATGCAAATTGCACTAATACTGATGGTTCATATAATTGTACTTGTAACATGGGCTATGAGGGCAGTGGTTATAACTGTACAGGTAACGTAAAAATACAATATCCGCATATTCAAAAGTATTTGTTATATGCATTGCCAAAATTTATTTTCTTCCGGCTTTCTTTTGGAAACGTAAATCTGAACCCGAGCGATTTTTACCCGCTGTTTCCTCGACAGCTACCTAGCTCACACGATTACTCTAATTTCATGGTTTGCTATCATAGTTGTTTTATATACCCATGAATTAGTATTTTCCTTCCAGCATGCCTGAATTGAACGTCGAAAGAGGATTTTAGATTCTTTTTCATTTGCAATTTTTCACCATGTCATATACTTAGCTTGTTAACAGTTATTTAATGTTTTTGTTTTGGGGAAAAGTATGCAAAAAATTTCTACAGATTATTAAAATCAAATTCAATGAAATAGCTTTTTAAGGTCATCTATAATACATTTTTAGATATCAATGAATGTCAAACAAATCCTTGTGGTGTAAATGCAAATTGCACTAATACTGATGGTTCATATAATTGTACTTGTAACATGGGCTATGAGGGCAGTGGTTATAACTGTACAGGTAACGTAAAAATAGAATATCGGCATATTCAAAAGTATTTGTTATATGCATTGCCAAAATTTATTTTCTTCCGGCTTTCTTTTGGAAACGTAAATCTGAACCTGAGCGATTTTTACCCGCTGTTTCCTTTACAGCTACCTATAGCTCACACGATTACTCTAATTTCATGGTTTGCTATCGTAGTTGTTTTATATACCCATGAATTAGTATTTTCCTTCCAGCATTCCTAAGTTGAACATGGAAAGAGGATTTTAGATTCTTTATCATTTGCAATTTTTCACCATGTCATATACTCAGCCTGTTAACAGTTATTTAATGTTTTTGTTTTGGGGAAAAGTATGCAAAAAGATTTCTACAGAATATCAAAATCAAATTCAATGAAATGCTTTTTAAGGTCATCTATAATACATTTTTAGATATCAATGAATGTCAAACAAATCCTTGTGGTGTAAATGCAAATTGCACTAATACTGATGGTTCATATAATTGTACTTGTAACATGGGCTATGAGGGCAGTGGTTATAACTGTACAGGTAACGTAAAAATAGAAGATCAGCCTATTCAAAAGTATTTGTTATATGCATTGCCAAAATTTATTTTCTTCCGGCTTTCTTTTGGAAACGTAAATCTGAACCCGAGCGATTTTTACCCGCTGTTTCCTCAACAGCTACCTATAGCTCACACGATTACTCTAATTTCATGGTTTGCTATCGTAGTTTTTTTATATACCCATGAATTAGTATTTTCTTTCCAGCATGCCTCAATTGAACGTAGAAAGAGGATTTTAGATTCTTTTTCATTTGCAATTTTTCACCATGTCATATACTTAGCCTTTTTAACAGTTATTTAATGTTTTTGTTTTGGGGAAAAGTATGCAAAAAATTTCTACAGATTATCAAAATCAAATTCAATGAAATGCTTTTTAAGGTCATCTATAATACATTTTTAGATATCAATGAATGTCAAACAAATCCTTGTGGTGTAAATGCAAATTGCACTAATACTGATGGTTCATATAATTGTACTTGTAACATGGGCTATGAGGGCAGTGGTTATAATTGTACAGGTAACGTAAAAATAGAATATCGTTATATTCAAAAGTATTTGTTATATGCATTGCCAAAATTTATTTTCTTCCGGCTTTCTTTTGGAAACGTAAATCTGAACCCGAGTGATTTTTACCCGCTGTTTCCTCGACAGCAACCAAGCTCACACGATTACTCTAATGTCATGGTTTGCTATCATAGTTGTTTTATATACCCATGAATTAGTATTTTCCTTCCAGCATGCCTAAGTTGAACGTGGAAAGAGGATTTTAGATTCTTTTTCATTTGCAATTTTTCACCATGTCATATACTCAGCTTGTTAACGAGTATTTAATGTTTTTGTATTGGGGAAAAGTATTGAAAAAGATTTCTACAGATTATCAAAATAAAATTCAATAAAATTCTTTTTAAGGTCATCTATAATACATTTTTAGATATCAATGAATGTCAAACAAATCCTTGTGGTGTAAATGCAAATTGCACTAATACTGATGGTTCATATAATTGTACTTGTAACATGGGCTATGAGGGCAGTGGTTATAACTGTACAGGTAACGTAAAAATAGAATATCGGCATATTCAAAGTTTTTTTATATCCATTGCCAAAATTAATTTTCTTCCGGCTTTTTTTTGGAAACGTAAATCTGAACCCGAGCGATTTTTACCCGCTGTTTCCTCGACAGCTACCTAGCTCACACGATTACTCTGATTTCCTGGTTTGCTATCATAGTTGTTTTATATACCCATGAATTAGTATTTTCCTTCCAGCATGCCTGAATTGAACGTGGAAAGAGGATTTTAGATTCTTTTTCATTTGCAATTTTTCACCATGTCATATACTTAGCTTGTTAACAGCTATTAATTTTTTTTTTTTGCTGAAAAGTATGCAAATAATTTCTACAGATTATCAAAATCAAATTCAATAAAATGCTTTTGAAGGTCATCTATAATACATTTTTAGATATCAATGAATGTGAAACAAATCCTTGTGGTGTAAATGCAAATTGCACTAATACTGATGGTTCATATAATTGTACTTGTAACATGGGCTATGAGGGCAGTGGTTATAACTGTACAGGTAACGTAAAAATAGAATATCCGCATATTCAAAAGTATTTGTTATATGCATTGCCAAAATTTATTTTCTTTCGGCTTTCTTTTGGAAACGTAAATCTGAACCCGAGCGATTTTTACCCGCTGTTTCCTCGACAGCTACCTAGCTCACACGATTACTCTAATTTCATGGTTTGCTATCATAGTTGTTTTATATACCCATGAATTAGTATTTTCCTTCCAGCATGCCTGAATTGAACGTCGAAAGAGGATTTTAGATTCTTTTTCATTTGCAATTTTTCACCATGTCATATACTTAGCTTGTTAACAGCTATTAATGTGTTTTTTTTGCGGAAAAGTATGCAAATAATTTCTACAGATTATCAAAATCAAATTCAATAAAATGCTTTTGAAGGTCATCTATAATACATTTTTAGATATCAATGAATGTGAAACAAATCCTTGTGGTGTAAATGCAAATTGCACTAATACTGATGGTTCATATAATTGTACTTGTAACATGGGCTATGAGGGCAGTGGTTATAACTGTAGAGGTAACGTAAAAATAGAATATCCGCATATTCAAAAGTATTTGTTATATGCATTGCCAAAATTTATTTTCTTTCGGCTTTTTTTTGGAAACGTAAATCTGAACCCGAGCGATTTTTACCCGCTGTTTCCTCGACAGCTACCTAGCTCACA